CTCTGACTGGTGGATTCTAGGCACATTCCACTCTGGAGCCACATCCTTAGTCTCTGATTGGTGGATTCTAGCCGGCTCATGCTGGAGCTCAGTCTCTGTTTGATAGATTCTAGACACATGCCCACTCTGGAGCCACATCCTCAGACTCTGACTGGTGGATTCTAGGCGCATGCTCACTCTGAAGCCACACCCTCAGTCTCTGATTGGTAGATTCTAGGCACATTCCACATCCTTAGTCTCTTGATTGGTGGATTCTAGACAGCTCACACTGGCGCTCAGTCTTTGTTTGATAGATTTTAGACACACACTCACTCTGGAGCCACATCCTCAGACTCTGACTGGTGGGTTCTAGGCACGCTTCACTGTGGAGCCACATCTTCAGGCCTCTTTTTACTTTTACTTTGAGATAAGGACTCACTCCGTTACCCAGGCTGGCCTTTAACTAGCAGTCCTCTGGCTTCAGCAGTCCCAGTAGCTGGGATGACAGGCTGCACCACTCTGCCAAGCTGGAAGAATGTCTCTATGGAGCAGTGGAGGCTCCTGGGATAGAGCAGAGGATTCTCCCGGAGAGTCTCAGGCAATGTCGGGAAAGGAATGAGGGCCTACCCACAGTCATATGCATTCAGGCCTTAACCACTGTTCATTATCCTAAAGTATCTACATAGGAGAGAAACAGTCACTAATTATGGGCAACATTCTCAGCACATGTTAATTGTGCTGGAATTCTGAGATTGTGAGACCTTTGGACTCTGAAATGAGGGGACCCTTCCCCTTCCCATGTCCCCGTAATATCCCTAATTCTGTTGGGTTTTTTTTTCATCTTGCCTCATTTGAACACTTGACACACACTTTCCCTCCAAAGAGGACATTATACTGGCTCACTCTGTATCCCAACAGTGGAGCAGGGCCACACACACAATTCTTGGCTAGCCTGAGCACAAAATCGTGTCTCTAACAAACCGAAAAGAAAACCAGAATGCATGCTGAGGCACAATCAAGGAGATAAGCCGAGTGAGTGCCAAGTATTTGTGCACACAGTTTCTACAAGCACGTACTTCAGTCACACCCCAGCTAACCTGCCTGCTTTCCTTCCTGGCAGCCATGGCCAGCTCCCAGGTGCCTTTCTCCTTTCCTCTGGCCCACTTCCTCATCTTTGTCTTCGTGACTTCCACCATCGTCCACCTCCAGCACAGAATTGTGAAGATTCAATTCCCACCAGAGAAGCCCACAGAAGAGTCAGCAGCCACAGCGATGCCAGGGAGCAGCCAGCTGCAGGGCATGTTCACCATCAATTCCATTGGCCGCCTGGGGAACCAGATGGGCGAGTATGCCACCCTGTTTGCACTGGCCAGGATGAACGGAAAGCCCGCATTCATCCCTGAATCCATGCACAACACCCTGGCGCCCATCTTTAGGATCAGCCTCCCAGTGCTGCACAGCGACACCAACAGGAAGATCAAATGGCAGAACTACCACCTGAACGACTGGATGGAGGAGAGGTACCGGCACATCCCGGGACGCTATGTGCGCCTCACAGGGTACCCGTGCTCCTGGACCTTCTACCACCACCTGCGCCCCGAGATCCTGCAGGAGTTCACGCTGCACGATCATGTGCGTGAGGAGGCCCAGGCCTTCCTGCGTGGCCTGCGGGTGAATGGGGACAAGCCGAGTACGTTTGTGGGTGTCCATGTGCGCCGGGGGGACTATGTGCATGTCATGCCCAACATTTGGAAAGGCGTGGTGGCTGACCGGGGTTACTTGGAACAGGCCCTGGACAGGTTCCGGGCACGCTATCCGTCTCCCGTCTTTGTAGTCACCAGCAATGGCATGACCTGGTGCAAGCAGAACATTGATGCCTCCCGAGGGGATGTGGTGTTCGCTGGCAATGGTATTGAGGGTTCGCCAGCCAAAGACTTCGCACTCCTCACTCAGTGCAACCACACCGTCATGACTATTGGGACCTTCGGGATTTGGGCTGCCTACCTGGCAGGTGGTGACACCATCTACCTAGCAAACTATACCCTTCCAGATTCTCCCTTCCTCAAAATTTTTAAGCCAGAGGCTGCCTTCCTACCTGAGTGGGTCGGCATCCCGGCAGACCTGTCCCCACTTCTTAAGCACTAACACAAGCCTGTCCTTGCTCCCCCTTCCATCTCTAGGCAGGAGAAGCTCCGTGTTAAGCTCACAGGAAGAGCCTTCTTTCTGGAAGAAGCATGTCTTGGACTGCAAACAGAACAACTAACGTGTTCGGCAAACATATGCTCATGTTTGACACCACCGGCTCCAGCATCCATTGACTAAACTGCTCAGACCCATCGGCAGGGACCACAGTGCCCCCAAGCGCCAGCAGTGCCCACTAGCCGCTAGCAGTGCCATTACCGTGTTTTAGCGGAGCTGTCTCAGGATGCAGAAGGGCTGGCACAGACAGACGGCCATTTTGGGAGGCAGCAAGAGAAGGCCATTCCCTCACCTTGGGTTCCTTCTGAAGTGAGACAAACCCACACTTGTCCACCTTTTGTTACTAATAATGAAGTACCTGAAGCTGGATTATTTATGAAGGTCCAGTGAGCACCTCATGGTAACGGCAGACAGTCAACCGTCACATGGGAAGCATGAGCAAGGAGGAGGAGTGGGCTTGTTCTTCTCATAGCAGCCCAAGAACTAACTGGAGTCTACTGCTCACCCCTTGAAGGGAGAGCCTTCAATGTCCTAAGGCCTTCTCGAGACTGTTCAAATTGTGTTTTTATCTCAATTATGGGTATATGTGTGGGTGTGTGCACGTGAGTGCAGTACCTTCAGAGGCTAGAACTGGGTGTCAGATCCCCTGGGGTTGGAGCTACAGGCAGCTAGACCAGATGCTGAGAACTTCTCTCTGAACCTCTCGCCACACCCCTTAACTCTACCTCACAAAGGTCCCAGCATCACCACTGTGAGGAGCAAAGTCAAGTTCAATGGAAGCCCCTCTGTAAGCACCCCAGCAGCTAACTGCCTTGTCTCCTTGACAAGAATGGCGTCACTATGTGCCTTGTGTCTCATTATGAGTCAAGGAGAAAGAGAATACGGGACTGGTTTAGCCTGGGATCCAAAGTAGCAGCTATTCACTGCCAAAGTCACGATCAGAAAGGAGAGGCCACCGTGAGCCCACAGCCACCACGTTGCTTGTCCATCTGAGAACTCTGTGGGTGGGACTCGGCTGAGGCCCACGTCCACCTCTGCGGCCCTGGCTTCCGGGAGACCAGTGTGTGCTACCATCTTGTCACACTTCAGGGGTGTGCATGACCATGATATCCGTCTGACAATTAAAGAGTACAACCTATGTAGCTACCATTGTGAAAACAGTCAGAGTGATCTGAGGGAAGAGCCCTTGAAGACGTTGGGGACAGCAGGAACCCCAAGGTGTCTCTCCAGACCCCACCCTGCTAAATTGGTGCTGACATTGTGCCTGGGAAGTGGCCTGGAGTTCACAGTGCTGGTGCCTTTCCTTCATTCTGGCACCAGGAGGATCTGAGGTTTGGAGGCCAGCCTGGTCTGTTTTCTGAGGCCTGTCTCCAAAAAGAAAATCCTCTATCTGGGCATGGCAGTGTATACCTGTGACCCCAGCGTTAAGGAAGTGAGTGCAGGAAGGTCAGGAGTTCAGAGCATCAGCTGCAGGGGGGTCCAGGCCAGTCTAAGCTGCATGATACCTTCTCGGAGACAGTGAGAACCCAGCTGGGCAGTGGTAGCACACACTTTTAATCGCAGCACTCAGAAAGAGGCGGGTGGATCTCTGAGTTTGAGGCCAGCCTGGGCTACACAGAGAAACCCTAGCTCCAAAAAGCAAAACAAAAAAAGAAAAAACTGCAAAATCCAAAAGCAACAAAAATGTGACTCTACACAATCACATGGGGTTTGTTGGTTGGTTGGGTTGGTTTTGTTTTTGTCTTTTGAGACAGGGTCTCTGTATAGCCCTGGCTGTCCTGGAACTCACAATGTAGACCGGGCAGGACTTGAGGTCTGCCTGCCTCTCCCTCCACTGTGACAGGCAGAGGCAGGCTATCATCTCCAGCTCATTTCACATTCCTGAAAGTGATGGCATGGGCTTGAGCCATTTCTCCAGCCAGATGGGCGGGACACGGGTGGAGCAGTCTTTCATCCCAGGGATCAGAAGCAGGCACATGGATCTCTGTGAGTCCAGGCCAGCCAGGGCTAGGTGGAGACCCTGTCTCAAAATCAAAAGAAACAGAATGGACTACCACAGAGGTAGCGGAATTTAGCATATGGAAGCGGTCAGCTTGGTCCTATCCATGGGTGGATCACTGGGGTGTGGATTCTACCTCCAAACACCTCTAGGCAGGCCAGCGGTTCTCTGTCTGCTGGTTGTTGACAGTCACATGGTTGTGTGACCAGAACCACATTTAAGATAAAAGGTTATGTGTGGTACATCTAATTTGAGTGCTCTGGAAGCTGAAGCCTCACAAGGTTCGGTTTGAGCACAGCCTGGGCTACACTGGGAGATGCTGTCTCCTGGGAAGGAGGGGGTGGAGGAGGAGAAGGAAATGAAAGGAAATGGAAGAAAACAAGATACCCTGCCCTCTAGGAAGATCAGGGACAGGGAGGCCCGGGGAGGGACTGAAGTAGGTGACACTAGGTCACAGTGGTGAGGAGTGGTGATCTCAGCCAGGACCCACACCAATCCTGCCCTAGACTTCCAAATCTCCACCTTCCAGAGAATTCTGTAGCCACCCAACCCTACCTTGCTTGGGGCTGTGCAGGGCTGCGCCATGCTCTCCGCCCAAGGCTGACTGACTGAGGAGAGATGGTGACAGTGGGCAGGAGACAGGAGGGAGGCTTGGCTGGAAATTGATGTCCCGGAGCCCAAGGCGCCAGGGACAAGGGAATGGGTTACCCAGCAGATAGAGGGTTGTGGCTGGGGAAAGGTGGGGAGAAGGGGTGTTTCCTTTGTCAGAGGGTGAATTGGAGACAGCAGAGGACATGGTACAGAAAAGGACCTGAGTAGCCAGTCGGGGAAAGACTGGCATGGAAATGAGTGCATCAGATGCTGTCTCACAAAGCAAGAGCAAGGAAGGGGTCTGGAGATGGCTCGCTGCCCGTGCGGCAAGGGGTCTGGAGAGACCTGGAGAGACGGCTCGCCGCCCTTGCAGCTGCTGTTACAGGTCCTGGCACCCATGGCAGGTGGCCCACAACTCCAGCTTCTGGGGAGTGACAGGTTCCTCGGGCTTCCAAGAATCTGAGCATGTTATAGTGTGCATATACACAATAAAAATGCAAAAATACAAGGAACAAGAAGGAAAGTATCTAGAGCCTGAAGAGGAAGCTCACTACACCGTCTTGACCCTCCAGGGCTGGGAACTCGGCTGTCGGCTTTCAGCTTATCACAGGACACTCGAAGGCCAGCTCTGGCCATGCCCAGCCTGGGCCGGCCACAGACTTTCTGTTTACTCCAAGCACTCAACCTCATAGCAGCTTCTCCACACCTTGAGGTCTTCCTCACATCCCTCTTCCAGACGCCGTCTTTCAGGAAGTCCTCTACCAGTGTCCCCTAACCCTTGGAGGCTCAGCTGTTTTTCTGACCCCTGTTCCACCGCCCAGGTTTCGGTCTTTTTTAGAAGCCCTGGTCAGTCATGACTCCATGATCCCACATGCCATAGCCGCCAAGATGCCAGTCTGCACTGGGAGTGTGATCACTGAGCTTTACTGAAGTATAAAAAAGTGCAGGCTCTTGGTTTTCTCAACTCTGAGGGCCCAGGTTATGCACTGATTATATATGACTGATGTCATGTATGTATGTATGTATGTATATATATGTATATGTATATATATATGTATATATATATATATCCTGCCCCTTTAACAGCAGTCCCATCTTTCCTGATAACCTTCTGATCAAAATGAGACAAAATTTACTCCCAGGCCCAAAAGACAGGCAATCATCCATGTCTGGTGTCTGGTGGTCTCAAGTGTTCAGCTCCTCTCTCTCTCTCTCTCTCTCTCTCTCTCTCTCTCTCTCTCACACACACACACACACACACACACACACACACACACACACACACACACAGGGTCTCATGTAGCCCAGGCTGGTCTTGAACTCTCTATAGTTGAACTTCAGATCTTGAACTTCTGATTCTCCTGCCTCAGCTCTCCATGCCAACTTCTGTGAGTGCCAACACCTGAACTCCAAGTTGAACATTCATTCTTGGAAGTCCTGGGCTGCCACACAGGAAGTCTAGGGGCTTAGTTGAGAAAACATGTGGGGAAGAGAGCTGAGGCCTCGTGGAGGACAAGAAGGGTTCAGACATCCAGCTAGGCTCAGCCTTCTCCCCATCTCCACCATTGTGCCAACTGTCTGAATGAGCCATACTGAATGTCCTCATCCATCTGGCACAGGGATGACAACATTCCTCTCCGGCCCCTTATGGAGCTGAGTAACGGCCCTGCAGAGCCCAGTACACCGTAGCCAACTGTTGTTAGGTTAGGGGTTGTTAATAAGCCCAAACACAGTCTCACCAGCTTAAGCTCAAGGAGACCCGCAGTTTAATTCACCAGGCAGACATCCTCCGGGCATGAGGTGAACCTGAGGTCACATTCTAGCTCCTCTTTGGCCATTCCTTTCCCCACCTGGCCCCTGGAAGCCCTTCAACAAACCATGAGAGCTGGGTATGTTGGCTCACATCTCTAATTTCAGCAGTCAAAAGGTTGAAGCAGGAGGATTGTCACAAGTTAGAGGCCAGTCTGTACTACATAGTATGACTTCCTCTCAAAAACAAAACAAAAAAAAACAAACAAACAAAAAAGAAAGCTAGGTATAATCACAACACTCATAGGTTCAAGGTCACAGGGAGTTCACAGACACCTCCCACTAGGAGCTTCTGATTCTCTCACCTCTATCTAGAACTCAGGGGTCTGCCTTCCTTCTACTCCACTGCCCCATCCTTTCCTGAACCCAAACAGCACAAACTTTCAGATCCCCAGTTGACAGGCACATCTGGAGGAAGTGGCACACACACCCTGCAGGGCTCTGAAGGAGGCAGGAAGCTTGTTTGTACTGGGCAGTAGCAAAGGAATTCCCACCCTTAACTGCACAGACAGGGGTGGGGTGTGGGCTGGGGTGGGGTGTCACACAGAGGCCAGGTAGGCAGGTCCAGGCATTTGACAAATCAGCAGCAGTGGGCCAGGAGGGATATGGGTATCTTGAGTCTTGAGTGCTCTGTAGTTGGAGGGTCTTTGTGGGGGCAGATGACCTCTCCTGGGAAACCCCAGGGTCCTTCATCATGCATCTGGCAGCAGTTCCCAAAGACGAGAGCCACTGGGGTCAGATAAGTCCGCAGAGAAGATGCTGGGCCCTGGAGGCCCAGAGTCCAGCGGTGGGCCGCCACTCAAGGCCTCCAGCCAGTCCAAGGAATCTGTAAGTGCCTTTGGAGAAGGGGACAGGGAGCTTGTGGGGGATGGAAGTGAAGAAGAGAAAACGGAAGAGAAACCATCCGAGTCCGGGGAGGGAGACAGCACGTCAAACGAGCCAGGGAAGTCCAAGGGGATGGGAGGCAGCAGGTCTGCAAGAGGAGGATGAGTTTAGGCGGGCCGGCCCTGCTCACTGCACTGTTCCCAGACCATTCCTCCCTCGGGTCCAGGAATTCCCAAGTTCAGCTCCTCCCCTAAATGCGGGAGCTCTGCTCCTACCATCTGGTTCCACTTGGTCTTCCAGGATGTCATCGATGTCCCGGTTCGGAAGCAGCTGTGAATGAGCACACGCTCTGTGACCCTGGGTCCTGCTTAGGTACACAGCCCAGTCCCCGAGCACGCCCCGCCTCGCATCCCCTTCCACCTGCGCCCTATGGATCGCTTCCTGCAGTTCTTCCTCCAGAGTCAGGCTGGCTGGAGAAGATGTTGGAAAGGGAGTTGGAAGAGTAGGAGCCTGAACGGGCGCGGGAGCGGGAGCCTGAACGGGCGCGGGAGCGAGAGCTGGAGCTGCCCCCAGGGGATCCGCAGCTCCAGAAAACTGCAGCCCACTAGTCGTTGTACTTGTCTTTACCTAGAACCAGGAAAGGTGGGAGTTTCCTAAGTCCGGCACATCGGGCGTGGCTGTGCCCCCGGCCCTAACACAATCCTTCCTTAGTTTCACCCTAATACTTTGTATTTTTTTAATAGTTTTATGTGTGTGTGCTTGTATGTGTACAATCAGTGGACAACTTTCAGAGCTGGTTCATGGCTCCCACCTTATGGGTCTCGGGAATAGAATTCAAGAAGTCAAGCTTGGCAGCAAACACTCCCTAAAGCAGCTTTCAGGCTCCGCTCCTATCCTTTCATTGGCTTCTCTCACTTAAACCACGCCCACCAGGTTCTAACAACATCCTCCGGGCAACCAGTGGTTGGCCACGCTCCCAAGCGTTAGCGGCTCACTTGTTAGGCTCCGTCCCCAGCCGCGAGGTGGTGGCACACACGCTCGGGGGGCAGAGGCAGGTGGATCTCTGTGAGTTCGAGGCCAGCCTGGTCTACAGAGTGAGTTCCAGGACAGCTAGGGCTAGCCAGAGAACCCTGTCTAGAAAAGCAAAAACCAACAAAAGACCCGCCCCCAAGAGTAAGTCACGCCTCCGTCCCAACATGTCATTGGCTGCTCTTTTCTAAGGTCTCGCCCTATTCCTCTTCTTCGTCTCTTGATTGGTGTGTACACAGTCCCGCCCTCACCTTGCCGGGTCTCCGGGTATGCCCCGGAGCCTTAGGCCTAAGTCGCGGCCAGGGAGTCGCAGCCTCTTTGTCCTCACGCCCGGGCTTCTGCCGTTCTCTGGGCGGAGCGCCACCGCGCATGCGCTCCAGAAGCATCGACTTGGTCCCGGAGACTGGGAGTCCCCGTAGGCGCAGCTGCTGCCGAAGCTCTGAGACCTAAGGGGCGGGGACAGGGAGAGGAGGTGTGGGCGAGCTCTGGGGGTACAATTACTAGGAAACTAAGAGGAGCCAGAATCCAGACCGACTGCCCTAGGGCACGGGCCATGGGTCTGTGAGGTTTGGGTCCAGCCCTGAAGAAGAGATGACACTGGGACCCTGGGACACTGCATACTAAACCCACCGTCAGCTCTTCCAATTTAAGGGTCTGAAGTTCCAGCTTGTGTGAAGGGGGTGAGGGCCTGGAGTTTCCTGGTGAGGAGGGCTTCATCCTAGCGACCGGCGTGAGAGGGTGAGGAAAAGTTAGGGCAGATGGAAAAAGGTATTTAGGGACCTTAAAACCTGGGGCTTCGGAGGACGCAGGAAAAAGGAATTCTGGGCCTCCTGTGGAGCAAACACAGGGCTGGGTTTGTGGGTGTGGGAGCTGTGTACCCGGGATGTCTCCAGCGCAGGACTGGGAGTATGCACAGCTGGGGCTCAGGGGGAGAGGGTTTCAGGACAGGCTCCTCTCCCTTGCCCTCTGGGTTTGAGGGAGGAGGATGGGGTCTGAGTTTCTGGGCCCCTGGAGAATAAAACTGAGAGTCCTACCGAGGGTGTGGCCTCTGTGAGTTTTTCTCCTCCCACAGTGATGGCCCTGGGGGACCCAGGGTTGACCCCTCTGCTTGGAGATCTTCCCTAGGCCCTTGTCTCCGTTCTGGAGGCATGTACAGATGATATGTCAAATTCCCCCTGACCTTGGGCTCCTTCCAGTGTTGGGAGTTCTTGGAAGATTCCTGAAAGAGCAAGTCAGGCCAGGCTTGGCGGTTTGGTGGCCCACCATCCCTGTCATCCCAGCATCAGGAAGGCCGGGGAAGGATGAAGAGTTCAAAGCCAGTCATGGCATATAGTGAGCTTGTCCCAAGAACAAAGAGAAATTCAGGGATGATGCTTCAGCTTGGTCCACCTTCTGGGCCCCTGAAACGTATAGTGTCAGCTTGGCCACGCCCCAAAGACAGTGGCATGCCTAGGAGAACCACGGCTAGACTGTCGTGGGCACTTGCCCTAGGAGAACCACGGCTAGACTATCGTGGGCACTTGCCCTAGGAGAACCACGGCTAGACTGTCATGGGCACTTGCCCTAGGAGAACCACGGCTAGACTGTC